GAAATGCCCTATTGCCGATCGGCTATGACTACCACGGACTGAGTTAAAAGATCTGCACACAACAGATCAAATAAAGACCAAATTTTGTCAAATCATGCAAATCCAATACTCATCGAAATACCAGTTTAATACGTGATAATACTATTGTAGTTCTCTAGTAAGTGCATGGTGCTCCGAATACACTAGAGAGACTATTAGTGTGCAGCCAGATAAACAAAACGATACTTCAATATTAACAAGACTTACATTGGTTACTATTATTCTAGAAACACGATGATTTTGAATCTGACATATATGAAGTACTGCAATAATTATTCGCAAATATGCTGCGATGTATTAAGGAAAAAAGTATTAACACTTTATTTTTGTTTCTTTACCAGTAAGACACTAAGTCAACGAGAAAAATATTAGTTGGGCACACATTGTAAAAGTGCTTTCTGATGCCAGCTTACAATAATAGGGATTCAATGAAATGATCTCCAATAAATAAAATCATGATACAAGAAATTACGAACTAATCTGATTTATAAAATTGCTAAGTTCAACAAATTCGGGTGCAATTATTGCTTTTACACATCAGCCCTCGATTGAAAACGTAATTTTCTCTCACGCAAAAATAATGAATTTTTTCTTGATGAATTTATTTATGTCTATTGAAGTGAACTAGTTGATCGCGGCAAACGACTGAAACCAAGTTATTGTTTAAATTTTGTATAATTCCCTGCAAGCGAAGAGATAAATGTTTTATGTAAAATTAAATATTAAATTCTGAATTGTATTGGATCCTTTTGGCATTTTCAATGACTGATTATTATAAAAATAATCCTTGGTCACTTTGAAATGAATAACCATAAAAACAATCAATCTTAATGACAGGGTTGGTTTTACAAGTACATTAAAAGAGAGTATCTTTTTAAAGTAAACGTGTTTTTTTTTTTTTGCTGTACGATAAAGTTAGTTAACTATCAGTGGTTTGCGTGAAAACTTTGTTAGGAAATTCCTTTTTTTTCCTGGATGTCGATCTTTCGCTGAAGTTAGCTTAACCCAACGGATATTTTGTTCCTGTCCATAAATCTAATTAACTTAATACTCAGGTTGGAATCTGAAAATCATCCCTCTTTAGCGTCCCACTTAAAAAGCAGAAGAGAGATAGCAAAAAGACTTACAAAGTTTGCCAATTCCAGATTTTATACAGGAAAAAAATCTAGTGTTGTAGATTTTACTGATACGCGAATATGAATAAAAGCTAATGCATCCTCTTTCTTTGTCAGTAAAATTTGAAGAAGCTACAAATAATTATCAGGATGTAAGAAGTTTCTGAAAGTATAATTGCTAATTATATTGCATTGGTGTCGTTACTTTTAAAATGTAAGAGAAATAATAAATATAGAAATTAATAAATAAGTCATTAATGTTGTTAAAGAAGTTGTTTTTTAGTTGTTCATTTGTTCTTTATAATGTTTGTCTTTCCTTAATTTTAAATGTTCTCCCGTCAAGTTTCTTATAATTACATAAATTCGGTTTAATGCGTTGTTCCATCGCATAATCGACGCATAACGTAGCTTTATTATAATATTGTTTGGCTGAATGGTTTTTCGTTGTTAAAATTTTAAACATTTTTTCAAAGTTGAAAATTATTTTTAAAAAATCAAATGAAGATGAACAAGATTTGGCTGAGAAGGAAAGAAGTTGTGTGCAAATTCTTCCCAAATTTGGGGCAACAGCAGTTTTCATCTTCGAAATATTGATAATACCATAACTCTAAAGTGGCAACAAGTTTCTGCAAATCTTCAACTTGATTTTATAAATTGGTATTGCCTCACTATTCAGATTAATACTTTATTTTGTTCTATAAAGGAATGCGGCGATTGAGTATCCATAATAACTGGTAACTTTACTCTCTTAAAAACGATCTACACCTAATGAACCCTACAGGAACGAAAGTATTCCTAATTCCATCGATTGTTTCCTGCTTCTTAAAACAATATTTTTCATCTTACTTTATTCAATGAACTGATTTAATAATCCAGAAATTATTAGTTCTTTGCCAACAAGTGTTTCTGAATTTGTTCAGTTTATCTTAGTAAAATAAACTACAGCAGTTGGCTATTTTTGTTGTTTATTGATTATTATTCACTGTTTCCCTGAATGGCCGCAACCCTTTTGTTATTCACTTTCTAAAACAGTGCACTTCCAAGCCAACATTTGTCTTTCTAATTGTTCATTGTGTAATTAGTTTTCTATCAGTTCACTGATGAAGCTAATTCCCTAGCACTATTATAAACAATTGTTTCCCCATTTGTGATTTCATTTTTATCTTATGAAAAAGATACAAGGATTAAAGAAAGTTAATTAATGTCCGAATTTAATTGCTATTTTCATTCTCCTTTTTTGCTCTTCTCATATACATTTTTTCTCTTTCTTCCCATTTCACATAATTTCATTCTTGGTGTTGACAACGTGATAAGTTGTCGACATTCGTTTTTCTAGTCCCGGAGAGTCTTTTTATTTTTTTATTTTATTTTATTTTTTTTACAGTAAAAGCAGACAGGCAGAGAGAAACGGAGCCTATTAAATAAGTTTTCGCTTATCCTTTGCGTCAGTCTTTTAATCAGTCATTCGTTTTATTTCTTTATATTTTTAGTTCACATTCTTATCGTTCGTTTTCTTCTTTTTTTTTTCTCTATACAATTGCATATTTGTCGCTAGCCATTTTTGAGGGCAGTGAGTTGCTTTGTCAATAATTATCTGCCCACGATGGTCACGACGATTGCCTTAGAGTCAGCAGCGAGATAGCGCAAGGAGTGAAAGCTTCTGTTACTTTCTGTACAAAATTCCTGCATATCGCGACATGTGCGCGATTATTTCTTTCACAGGTTGTGTAATATTTTAGAAACTCATTCCTTTACGAGAAAGGCAGTCATAGATGTTAAACAGCTGCAAATGTTTATTAATAATCATTTCTTGTCCATTTTTCTTAAACTATTTACAACTTTGTACACACGATTTTTCACGGTTTCTCTCTATATGCGTGTGATGCTGGTTCGATATGTTTGAAATCATACACATAATCTAGTGTGTATGCGTACATATGTAGTTATTTCTAACAAACAATTGTAAGTGGAGGTGCACATATGACATACGTACATATTAAAGTTTGTGTGTGCGTGTGTGTTTCTAATTATACACACACGCACGCACACACGTATTTGAACATGGATTTTTCTAATCGTTTGTACTGGCTATATAGGTTAATTTGCATCAAACACATTAACTTTAAGTACATGCATATTTGATACTATGCATACATTTTTACATGTATGTATACATTTCTCTCTCTTTTGCATATTATATATATATATATATATATATATATATATATATATATATATATATATATAAACTTTTAAGGTATGCTGTATTTATTGGAGAAAAGTGCTCAATATCAGCGATAGAACATATATAATTATAAGCAGTGCAGACATAGGTGTTAATATTGAATGACGAGAGTCTGTTTCAGTTTTAAACGCAATCGTCATTGGTGATGATTACGTTTAATCATGAAACAAACAAATTGTCATCATTCAATGTTGATACTTAAGTACACACTGCTTATATATATATATATATATATATATATATATATATATATATATATATATATATATATATATATATATATATATATATAAACGAGCGTTATTTGATAGAAGCATGTGTTTGTATACTGTTGTTAAGATATACTATAAATAAACAATGACATATATGTACAGTGATGTGCCGATGTTCAATTGATTTTCTATAGTATATATATTTGTCCATGTAAAATGGTCATGAGAGTTTAGTAGTTTCGGGTAGAACCTAAGCCTCAAGATATGACGTTTACCGGCATATATTATAAAGTATCAAACTATGATAATGGAAGAACTGTTACCGATTATCTTTTCGCGAGAGTTCTTTTCTTATTATTCATATTCTTATTATTAAATTGATTCATTTTTCCACCATATTCTTCGGATGCAAAATTGAAATGTCGGCATTCAAAATAAAAAGATAACTTTGAACGAGATTTAACTCGTGTCCAATACTTCAGGAATCATTCTCTTTTGGAGGATAATTTAACCAATTTCGAGTCATCTATGAAAAAACGTCTTTACTCTGAAGGCCAACAGTTTCATTAGACGCCTTAAGAACTGATTGGTTAAAATCGTTGTGATAAAAAAAAATCTGTAATAATGAAAATACTTCATTTTAAAATAATTCAAGTTGGTCATTCTTGATAGGCTTTTCTAACTTAACACTTTACTTTTTAACTGTCTCTCTATTGTATATGTTAGCTTATGCCTGTCTCTCTACTCTGAGAGACAGGTATAAGATAAGCGAACAACTTTAATTTATTTAATATTATTAATGCTCTATCTCTTGATATCAAGCACTATAATTACAAAGAATGCTCGCCTTTCAAAATTATCCGGCTTGACCGTTTCTTGGTGAAATCTTTCATATATACATACTTCCGCACAAACGCATTATATATATATATATATATATATATATATATATATATATATATATATATATATACCGAAATAGGTGTGTGCTTTTATGAATGTAATAAATTTAAATATAATTCCTATTTGATATTTGCATTGTTAATGTGTATATAACATAACATATATACTCATATTCATTGTTAGAGTACATATTATATTATAATATGCATTCCCTGTGCCTTATAGTGTGTATGTTGCCAGTATATTAAATTCTAGTTTTATGTCATTTGTGTACCTATGCATATAGGTTGGGTCCATCTATGATAGATGTATAAGCATTCCGTATGTCTCACAGCATGAGTGTGCACATCTCCATATTGTTCAAATGCAATATCGCTTGTACATCCAATGCCTGACTATGTCATGGCGTGCGCGGCTCTTTACTTAACATTTGTTTTGTGTATGTGTAATAGTGAAAGCGTGTTGGTGTGAAGGAGATGTTCCCAATCATTCCTTACAGTTTTCTGTAAAGCGAATTTTTTTTAGTCGTAGCTGTTTGATTAGTTTAAGAATCCGTTTCTGTCGGCAACTTTTTCGGCACCGTTTCATCTGTTTTTTGACTTTCTTCCAGAATTTATTTAGAAAACGTTCTGTGGAACAAAGGAAAACATCGTTAAAGTGATAATCAACAGAAACTGTAAAAAATTAAAACATATTCGTTTCGAATATTCTATAAAGTAATACGAAGTTTGTATTTCTTGCACTTTGAAGAAATAGTATCTCCATTATAAAAGACATTTTCACAAATGAAATAATATAGCAAATAATAATCCTCTTAGATTTTCATAAACCATAATTTTCATTAAAAATGCAATTAAATATACGTATTCTTTGTGATGATAGATTTAAGAGAGAAAACAATTCATTATTCTTTTAATATTTTAATGAAATTTAACGATGAGCATGAATTGTTTTAGCAGCATAAATATATCCATGGGCACAGTGATATAAGTTGCTTCAAATATATAAAAGCCGACAAAATATCCTCTTTTGTCGGATACTCAGTGTATGCAAATGAGAAATAAATTGATTTGTTCCAAACAGCAATGCTAGTAATGGACAAATTCATGATGGACAATAATAATAGTATTAATAATAACATTTATAATAGAATTGGCATCATTTAATTTATAACATTATTCGTTACAATTGAATTTTTGTTACTATTTAAATAAATAAAAAGGAAAAAAATTAATTCTGTTCTAAATCTTTTGTGTATATGTATTTTTTTCAAAATCTTTCTTAGAACCAGAAATATAGTTTTAAAGGCGTTAAATGTTGTCGTTTTGAATTTTAAACCGGATTCACAAGTACACAGACGAATGGCGTTTATTATAGAACATATTCAGTGGGAATTGAATTTAAAATGAGTGATTTGCAACAGCAAACTTCGACAATAGGTTTTTTTTAAACGCTCAACCGCTTCAATCATCGGGGGGAGGGGTGGCGACCCGGGGCAGAAGAAACAGTTTGATTCTTCTTCAATATGATCCTTTCAGTGGACTTTCAGATAGCTTGACGGCGCCCATCTCCTCGCCAAGCTCTTGACCGACAGCCAAACACCACGGGATATGGCATGGATAGCCCTCGGTCTGTACACTAGGCATTCAGTTTTTGAATTCAGTAATGTCCTTATCCTACACTGGTTATCACCCAATGCAATAGGATCTAGTCTGCCCTGCTCTTCCACCCATAGCTGTGGGTGAGGGTTTGAAGATATGGATCCATACCTTTTCCAAGGGTCTTAGCACAAAAGTGACTATAATGAACTCGACTGGAATTCAAACTCGGCACTCTGATACCTCAAGACGTTATCCGTAGTATATTAAAATATACTATACATTCATAGATGCAAGAATGTTTTAAAGTTATCTTCAACTGAACCATAATCAATTATTATGCAACACAAACATTTTAGAACAACTGGAGTGATCTCTTACTTTTATTTGTTGCTCCTAATATATTTGTGGATTTCGTTCTGGATCTGAACTCTTTTGCATTCATATTTTCCACTGTCAAATTGCTGAGCCGACCTTGAAAAAAATGAAACCATAAAGCATTTTATAGAATTAAATAAAAACATTGGATAAAACAATATTAACAATTTACGTAATAAAAAAATGAAAAAAATACTTAAAAAATTACATCTGATAACTTTATCAGTCTTCTTAAGATCCTAAAAGAAAATAAAAAAAGTATATAATGACCAACATTGGATTAAATGAAGAAGTATTTTTCCATTAATTTCAAAATGAAAATTCAGCTTAAGCAATGATTATAGCGTTATCAAAATTGGCTTAATAAAACGGGAGCCTAATATCAGGAAGGGCATCTTTTAGCTTGGTGAAATGCAGCAACTCGATGTAGCATCGATTCCACAAGTCTCTTGAGACCTCTGAACAAAACGTTGAGTCATGCCCTCTTGATAGCTGTTCACCGTTTCCTGGTATTTGTAGGTGCCGGATCTTGAGTACGAACAGACCTCTTCATCATGTCTCATAAATGTTTGATTGGGCCCATGTTAGGCAAACATGGTGGCTATACCATTCATTGCCAGTCCAAGAAGAGGGGGCACTCTAGTATGTCTTTTCCTCCCATATTCCATGAAAGCTAAAGGACGTTAAACTAACTTACGTCTGGTACCTTCTGCATTCAATATGGGTGTCATTTGAGTCAGTGTTGCATGTCTATTATCGCAGCCAGATACGATCGTTAAAAAGTTTTAGTCAGTTATTATTCTGTCCACTGTGGGTAGCAATACCTTCCTTCAGGTATTCCCACTGGTACACGTGACAATGTAGTTTGAAGGATATCTAGTATCCCCACAATTTAAAAACTGGAATGTCCAATATGTCTGGCACCTATTGTCATACCAAACTCCGATAACTCACATTGATTTGCCATGAACTCCTTAGGCAGTGTTCACCCTAACTCATCTGATATAGATCTGGGTGTTTCCATGACGACAAAGTACAACCGTACCACCTACTATTATATTTACACACTGCTATCCTCTGACTTTTGCATCATCAATGGATGTACATATTATTTGCATATTGTGAAGCTTAACTGTAGCAAGCGATCAGTTTGAAAAAAAAATTGATTTATTTCTTTGGTTTGAAATCTAAACCTATCATTACGAGACCATGTTCTCCATGATTCATGCGTTAGCCACGAGTTATTTATGAAATATAAACCTAAGTTTCAAATTTGGTGTCTTGCAACAGTATACACGCTATTTTCGTATAAGAATAGAATATTAATTGTGGTACAGAACAAAAGAATGTGTCTGGGTTCTTTGAATTTCATTTAGGTCTAAATGAGGTATACTTTAGATGAAATAAATGAGAAATGTATCCATCATACTGATTTGAAATTAAATCTTTCCTTAGAGATAAATTTTAAAACTTGTCAACTATCACTTAGCTTTCATTCCACCACATTATGATAGTAAGTAGTTATATAGTAAAAAAGTATTTATACGATTGGAGTTTAGCTTATTTTACTGATAACAGCTAACAGCTGATGAAGGCAGAACTCATTAGAGCATTTTAAAATTATTTTTTTTTCTATGAATCTCACAATCTAAAACAGAAAATATTGAGCTGACAATGTAGTCGCGTAAGTATGTCAACTTGCTTATAGCTATTAGAATAATTATAGCCTCGTAATAAGTTACAAATGAAAAAGGTGAGAAAAAGTGATGGCCATACCTTTTTTTGGGACATCCCAGCGGAGGACATTGACTTTTGACTTTTTGACATGATGAAAAGCCAGCATAAGGAAAGCAGTGTCATTGGACATGTACACAATCCTGTCAGTGCCTTTGGGCATGCAAAGGTTGTGGAAAATTCGTGTCGGATCAGTTGTAGTGGAACTGGGTTGCTGTGTTATCATCGGTAATGATGTCGAGGTCTGCTTATTACGATTACGCCAACATTTTTTGCCTGCCATCAAATACAAAAAAACTATTAAATATTCTGATATATATCATGATTATTATATTGCTGTATAAGTATACGTAACCAAGTAGTTAAAAGTTAATGTATCAAAGTGTTGATTAAAAGTCGATTTTTTTCAATTGTTCTGCATTTGTATTAAAGCAATAGCAAAAGATCGACGTCACAGAAATCTGAAATGAACGTTCTTCTAGCAATAAACGGGAATGATGAAAGATAATCGCTTTATTTTTCTAAATGACACATTTGAGAATAATTTTACTCCTCAACAGTCATTCTATGACTTATCCCATTTTGCATTGAGAGTTATTCGGAAAACCTAATTGATGGCTCAAGTTGAACTCTCGCTATTTTTTTAAACAATACGAACAGCAGAACAAATGCACGTGATGTTTTAAGTCAGATGTTCAGCAAACGCATCCAATTAAACAAACTTGTCTATTTAAATATTCTTGATGAAAATAGTGAAAATCCCCCTGAATAATTTTAAAATCCCATCTTAAATGAGACAGTATTTATAAGAAAAAAGGATGAGAATGAGAACAAAAATCTCATATATATATATATATTTTATGTCTCGAAATTATGTATATCTCCGTATATATTTGATATAACTAGAAAGAACAAAAGATGTTGATTGAAACAGTTAAGTAGTGTTATGACATGTGACAAATCATGACAAATAAGCTAATGAGTTCATAGGTCACTAGAAATACATAGACAAGTTTAAGTGAAGAACTTACCTTTACATATTTTATTCTTACATACAGGACAACATTGTCCATCCACTTTTCGCGGACGGGCGCAATTGGAAATTTTCGGACATTCAATTTTATTGCAAAGCGTTTGACTGTTCTGTGAAAAGAATTAAAAAAATTGAGACTTTTAGATTGTACCTGTATGTTTAGCTAATCCTACTTTAAGAACGTCATCATGTGTCAATGGAAAGAACTCACTTAATTAGCAACCTTATTCTCGGCTATATTATTAACAATCTTCTTTTATGTGTCATGTCCTTTCAGAATGTGAGCAATCATGGCTCTCCACAACTTCCTATCCTTTGTAGCTCTAAGTAATGCTTGTATCCTTACTATACCTGTTGTGCTATCTATTTACGCAAGTTTTTTATGAAGGTTATTCACTGTTTCCCTCCGTTTCTTTGTTTGCAACATGTCTTGGAAATGTTCTTCATGTTCACTCTCCTCATAAGCTGCCCCAGAAATGTCCACTGTCTCTTTCTGGTTCTAAGTGTCCTTTTTATTTCCATTTTCCTTAAAACTTTCTCCTTGTTCACATGCTCCGTTCATGGAATTCTCAGCATCCATTTGTAGAACAATATTTTTTCCGTTGCGTCAAGTCTCGTTGACATCTCTGAGGAAAGTATTCATTATTCATTGCCCTATATTGAAATTATATAACTGTTCAACACTCTTTTCTTTGTTTCTAACGAAAATATCCTGTTTATTAATACTTTGCTTAGCTTTGGAAGGCATATTTTCGATATTTGCTCTTTCGGATATTTGTCACATTTTTCATCGGCTCTTAAAACACTTTCTAGTTAGTTAAATTCTTATACTTTCTTGATTTTGACGTCTCCAATCGAAACTTGCATCTTGTTAACGACCATATATTCTGTCTTCTTACAATTAATCTTTTTTTCCACTTTCCTTTACTACCTTGTCTAGGAGTTGCTGTGATTTTCTTTCCATGTATATCATCAACAGAATGTTATCTGCAAATGCTGTTAAAATTACGCCTACCAATAATAAATCCTGGTAGGACTTCTAGTTCCCTTAAGATTGTCTCGCTCTAAAAGTTAAATAAATTCAGTGAGAGACATATCCTCGTCTTAACCCTCTTTCTATTTTTGTCTATTTAAGTCATTTTCTAGCTGGATGCAAGTGTTTTGATTCAGTATATATTCTGGATTATTCTAGAATAAACGAAAATAAGTTATCCAATTGATCTTCGCGTCGTACCGATTTAAATGCTTTGACCTATTCGACGAAAACATGTATTAATCCTTCAGCATTTGATCGCATTGATATCCTTCTGATTTTAAGTATTGCATTTCTTGATCCACACTTCACATTCGTGGAAACAATCAGTTATAAGTCAACCTGTGAGCGATAGTATGTCAACTTGCTTATAGCTATTAGAATAATTATGTTTAAACTCGTCTAATGATTAAATACACACACATGTACACACACACACACACACACACACACACACACACATACATACATACATACATATATATATATATATATATATATATATATATATATATATATATATATATATATATGTGTGTGTTCTTTTGACGAAAACCGCTTAATGATTGCTTATTTCGTTAGCCCATGTTGTATTCACTTTTTATCGCTCATAATAATTTCTCTTAATTCTTTCCACTTGACACTTTACATCAAAGTTACTACTATAAACAAAATAGTGTAAAAGAGGTTCGAATCTTGACTTAGTTATTTTGAATATGTTGGGTATCTCCCGCGTCATATAACGTTGCTTAATGTCAAATAATGTTTTGAATTGATCGCAATCAACTTTAACTGGTCTACCTGACCAAGGAACATCATTCAGCGAAAAATCTCCAGCTCAAAACTTAGCAAACCGCTTTTGACACTTTCGGTCATTGACAATGCTTTCTCCATCGAATGTACAAATTTATTTTTACGATTTAGTCACGTTTTTATTTTTCTAAAAAGATCGTAATATGCCCTAAATATCTTTAGATGGACTTGTAAACAAAGAAAAGTATGAACTATTGGTCCCGAATGTTGATAGTTATAACATTGATGTATGCTGTTGTCAATGAACCAAAATCAAAACTTCATATTAATATTAGGGTTAGAGAGCCCAAGTTAATAACTTTGGAAACAGAAAATATTATAGGCGATCAACGCGCACATCCCACAAGGTTCGCTTCTCGGTCCAATACTCTTCCTCCTCTAGAAAAATGATCTGTCTAAGAGTATACTCAGATCACTTGCGAATATCTATGCTGATGATGCAATGGTATATGGGTGCACCTGACCAGAGTTTAGCAACTGATATCTCCTCTGACCTAGCTCTCAAAGACCAACTAATGACCTTTCACCATCGACAAACGAACCCAAAACTTTCATCAATCGTGGTGAGGGAATATTTCCTCAGGGAGGCCCCGTGACTTAACCCAGAAAAAAAGTGGAACTCTTACATACGGTCCATCACTAAAGATACTGGGAAAATGTTCGGTTCCCTATACAGCTCCAGCAAGTACCTCACTCCCCCTGCTATCCTTTACCTTTACAAAAGTCAGAACAGGCCGAAAATGGAGCACTGCTGCCATATCTGGGCTGAAGCTGCCTAGTCTTCACTTTCTACTCTCCTTGTAGGCAACGAATTAGTTTCCACTCTGCAACCACTTTCTTACAGACAAGCCTCTCCCAGCTGTATCACTATATTCATAGAAAGTGTTCAGATAAACTACAGCCTTTAGTCCTACTAATCCTAACCTTTACGACGAAGGCCTGCCATACCACGCACATTGTAGCAAAACCACCCCATTCCCCTGGTGATATATAAGTTCCACTCAATCTTAACCTGTTCATGTCTAGAGTTAAGTAATATCTTCCAAACACATGCGCATAAGCTATACCTCTTACTCTGTAGCCTTCAACCTTGAGTGACCCCAGGACCTTGTACAGGATGAAATGGAAGAATAACATCTATAGACATTGGAAATTCGCAGACAGAATATCAGTTATCAAGACAAATAAGAAGTAATATTGATAAATACAGAAGAAAATTAATATTAAGTGGAATGAATACCTGGAGCATAAAAGTTTTCACACAATGAAAATTGACACCATAAGAACTATCAATAAAATTCCCCGTAAAAACTTTGAAGAGCTTGGAAGACGTGCAGTAAATTTGTGAGTTAGCAAAGGACAGGGAGGTTTGGAGAGAACTGATGAGATATTTACAAAGTAACTGAAGATGGGAAATCACACTGAGTGCCTTTAAGTTGAAGCTGCTTTGACTGATGATAATAATGGTAAAGCGACTCACTCTCTATGTTTACTTCTAAGAAATATTTTGCATCATATTAGTCAATGGTTAGTGTAGGTAATGAAATACATACTATACACGTGCAGAGCACACAGAGAAGAGGTCCAAAAGGAGTAAGGACTGGATGCCATGTTGTCCCATTCTTGTGTACGGCATCTACAGTGATGCAGCTGTGTGGAGCAAAGTCTGCCAAAGAAAAAATAATAAAGTAGTAACATGGGTATGTAAAAATATTGAAAATAGAAACCTGTACAGGTAGAAATTAATAATTATATCACAACTCTATTAGTATATATATATATATTATTCATAGACACATACACAATATATATATATATATATATATATATATATATATATATATATATATATATATATATATTTTGTGCATGAATAATTTTGGTACCTGTTTCAGGACTGTCATCAAACAAAGACTTAAATTGATGTCATCTTTAACTTCAAATGCAAAAAGCAATAAAAACTTGTTACGGGCAATAATTAAAAATTCTTACAAATAGAAGAAAATGAAAAAAGGAGGATTTTGCGAAACAAACGGTTGTTATAATTCTATAAAACTATTTTTACATTCTCAAGATTCTCATATTTTTTTGCAATCTAAAATCTTTCTTTCACAGTCAATCTGTCCGACGTGCTTGCTTTGTTGATGATGGAAAACAATTCAAAATACATTTTGTTTACAGTGATTATTATTTGACAAATGTTTGAAAATTGAGGACTACCAAATATTGACCACTACCAAATATTTCATTATAGTTTCATGCAAATGACTAGACGTCTTACCTATATAACTAATTTTACTCTTAGCGATTTAAATTTATATATAACACTTGCTATAGAAATAATCGGTATTTTATCTTTATTTTAAAACAAAGAACTAACTTTGGAACTTGTGAAAACAATACTCAACAAGAAACCATCTTGGCAAAATATTTCTTATATATATATATATATATATATATATATATATATATATATATATATAGAGAGAGAGAGAGAGAGAGAGAGAGAAAGAGAGAAAGATGTATGTGTGTGTATACTTCTTGTTAGTATAAAAGTTAACATCGTGATTATACTATTATTTTCTCCTTGAGTTGTAATATCCTTGTTACTTGCTGCTGCTGTTGAAAGCCCTCAAGTGATGCGGTTTGCGTTATTTGCTACAGTTCTTTATGTGTGATACTGTAGCGCCAGTCCACAAGGTTTGACGAAGGATAGTCCTCGCTAAGACTTGTATACTTCATTCACTCGAGACAACCATCGTTCTGAGAAAGAAGTTGTATACAACTGATAGTTTAGATATTTGTGAACATGTTCAGTGCCGTACATGACATCTATATGAAATTCACGATCTGACGAGGCTATTTAAGGACCTGACTAGAGTTTTTAGGTTAATATCTTGATTTTGGAGCAATTTGCCATGTTTGGAGAAACTAACCCTAGCACAGCCTATTCTATGTTCAATTTCCTTTTCTCCTATATTAAATTTGTTATCACTGATCCATACACCTAGTATGCTATTAGTATTTACTAGACTCACATCACAAATTTCTATGAGAGATTCAGTTAGCACAGGTTTTATTACAATTCCAGATCATAGTTTATGTATCTGGAAAGGTTTCTCTTGTGTCCTGTTTCTTGAAATACTTATTAGAGGATGTTGAATTTTGTTCAAGATCATTCTTAGTCAAACTATGATAACTATGCTATCAGCATAGTTCCCCACCTCATCATCGGTACACTGGCCTCGGGAGGGAAAGCAGGATCACTGTTTTCTATTAATACTTATATTAGTACTTATATTAGTACTTTTGGATGTGGTATGGAATGCATAAATGATTAGTGCCCATCACTTCACATCTGTGCTTGTATATGTGTGGAGCATAGTCTAGGAAGATTAAATAGGTTGTGGGTCTCATTTCTTCTTTGTCCTACTCCTGATGGAGTTTGGAATGTTTCGGTATTTGGGGTCCTCACCATACATGTACAACTTTACCGATATAGCTGCTCTATTAGATCTAGACATCCAGTGGAGTGAGAGCTTGGAAGACGGTTTCTGATGGATGGCCGTATGCTGTTGTGTCGTTGTGTTCATCTGAAAGTTAAATTTCTTACTTGTGGAGTGAAGAACGTTGAGTCAGTGCGTGATCGCTGACGCTGTATAAAGGGAGGTAACAAGTATGGTTGTGGAGAGTTTTTACGAAATAAGTAGTAAAAAAAACGAAAAACTATTAGCGCAAACCTTGGCATTTCAAACTATCTATTGAACACATCTTAAAACATTTGTGGAGCATTCGTAATTAATTTTATTAAGGTTTGCAGAAAACCAACATCGTTTATAAATTTAAATGTCCTCTGGGAGATTGTATCTCCAACGGTAAAAATAATATTTATGTTGGACACACTGCAACAACGTCGTCTCGGTGGCTAAGTTTTCATTTGAATAATATATCCAATATAACATTTACAACAGCATATATGTCCACAATCAAAAAAATTCTTGTCGAAAATACTTCTATACTTTTTTATGAAAAGAATAAACATAAACTAAAAATTCTTGGAGCTATCTATATTAAAAAATTGAAACCAAATCTTAATAAAATTGATTCAATATGCTGATGACAACACTGCCCTGTCATTCGAAAGAAGGACCCCAATAGTCTGTGAACAAATTTGCTGTGGCCTACCATTTTTGGCTTTATAGTAAATATCAAGAAAACCAAGGTCCTTGCATGACTATACCCAAATACCATCCTATCAGATTTTGATATTATCATCTATAATACACTTCCAGAAGTAGAGCGTTTTTCATATCTAGACAGCCTTTTATGAAACAATTGCACCTCAGAAAAGGATGCGGAACACAGAATTGGAGCTGTTTATGGACATTTGGAAAGCTAATCAAACACATTTTTAACAACAAAAATCTGAACTTAACAACAAAAATTATGGTCTATCATGCTGTTGTCATTTCATCTCTGCTATATAGTTGTTAAACCTGAACTCTATATCATCGCGATATCCCAAAATTAGAACGCTTTCACCAACAAAATCTTCTTTCAGTCTGGAACATCAAGATGAACAGAACATGTAGCAAGAATGGAAGAGTCAAGGTTTCCAAGTCTTATTTACTGAACTCATTTCAGGGAAAAGGACACGTGTTGTTCGATGACACAAGAACTAACTCAAAACAACACTGAAAGCCACTGGATTTGAGTCTAAGTCATTTGAAAAAGATGCACAAGACCCGTGCCAACTGGCGATGTTTCATCACCATCTGAACCAAAATGTCAAAGCCACCAGAAGAATAGAGGAAGAAGTCAAACGGCAAGAGAAAACGGCTCGACAAAATCGACCTTGTCCTCCACCAACATTACCATGCTGTCAATGCCATCAGCTCTTCCATGCAAGAATAGGTCGACTTAGTCATCAACACCATTATCATAAAGATCAGAAAAGAAGAAGCTAAATTCTTGGATACGAGATAAAGCCGACTACGGCATATACATATACACACACACACTCATACAGATAAATAAAATAATAATAATAATAATTATACTTTACTCCGTAATGAAAGAAGCCAACAAATTCAAAATGGAGTTTCAAATGGGCGTAGAGATGCAACTACAGCACAATACACCGGCTGAAACCTCAAAATACCTAAAAAAAGACAGTAAAGACGAATGCAACCGACCAGCTACAGAAGCGATGGCAAGATAAACCGCTTCATGGCCAATACTCTGCCCGTACCAAACAAGCTGACGTAGACAAAACCCGCACCCACCAGTGGCTACGTAGTGCAGGGTTGAAAGCGGAAACTGAAGGTTTTATCCTTGCTGCGCAGGACCAATGTTTGCTAACTAGGAATTATCAAGCACATATTCTAAAATATTGTGTCAGCCCAAAATGCAGATTCTGTGATAAATATCCAGAAACGATTGATCATCTTGTATCAGGTTGTACGGTGTTGGCACCCACTGAATATAAAACCCGACATGACAGAGTGGGCCAATATCTGCACTGGAAAATCTGCAACTTCTACGGGAAGGAAACTGAAAGAAAACACCATCCAGACTCGGTTACGGAGGTAGGACCTGTTACAATTCTATGGGACTACACAATACACACTGACAGAACAATCAAGGCCAACCGGCCAGATATTGTTATTAAAGACCACAAACAAAAACGGTGCCTCCTTATTGATATGGCAGTCCCTGCTGACTGCAATGTATCTTTGAAGATATTCAAAAAGTTGTCAAAGTACAAGGACCTTGAAATAGAAATCTCGAAAATGTGGCATATGGGAACATCAACAATCCCTGTTGTAGTTGGAGCCCTAGGACTTGTAGGAAAATATTGCAGTAGACTAATTGAAGGGATTCCTGGAAGTCCATGCCTCAAGGAGATACAAAAAATTGTTCTGACAAGTACAGCCCACACCTTACGAAGGGCTTTATCTATGTAATTTAATTTTTTTTTTTTTTTTTTTGTCAGTGGAAAGTGTCATGACGCCATTTCTAACCTTAGGTCCCTGGGCGGGACCCGGAAAGAAATGTGTAAACGCCAGAAATCAAAGAAAATAAAAATGATAATAATAATAATGGCCACCCGTCGGCTAGTGCGGCGAGGCTATTTCTGTTGAATACACCTACTTAGTTAACTTCTTTGGTTAAAGTTTTTTTCTTACGCTACAGGTTGACCATAAATTAGTATAGGAAATTTTAGCTTCTTTTTCCGGTGAAAATCACTGATTTGGAAATTCTTGCAAAAACCAAATAATTATGTAATTTTAATGGAAATTTCAGGACATATTTACAAATTAATTAAATTATTTTTTAATGTTTCTATTTTTTTTTATAAAATATTTGTCATTTTTTTTTACATTCTATTACCTTTTATTTAATTTTATGAAATTTTGAGAGATTCTTTTTGTGGGGCAAGTTCTCGGAGAATTTACATAATGACATTTCAAACACGACCCCCAGTTAGAGAAAATAAAGAATTCAATAAAATTCAGATATTATTTAATTAAAAAAGATTTAATTGCTTTTATGTATAAAATACATTATGGACATTATGGGCTTAAGAAAAAGAAGTTTCGGTGAATAATGAATTTTTACCAGAATTGTTTTAATTTTTTTTTAATTTTAATTATAATATATAAACTTTTAAATCTTTTAAAATTTTGTATTTCTTTGTCACGGCCAAGTGATATTGTTATTTAATAAAAAATATATTTGCAAATTATGAATGGAAAGGTTTACAACAATTCATCGACTCCCAGTATTTAAAAAGAATTTTGAATTTTTTTTGTATAGATGTTCAAATTAATGCCACGCGTTTTAAGGATTTTAATTTATACCATTTCTTTTCCTCTTTACTTAACTTTTCCAAATATCAGGCTGTCAATAAACAATTCAACACGTTAGAAAAACAAGTGCCCGTAGTTAAGAAATGCTTTTCTGCTACTATATACTAAAAGTAAGTAATATTTGTTTAAAATCAGATTAGTTAAACTTTAAATTTGCTAATTCTACTCAAATATCATTTCAGAAAAATATATTTTATTTTTAAAGATTTTTTTAACACGGGAGACTAACTTGTGTTTACAAGTGTCTCAAACTTGACGAATGTATCAATTTTTACTAAAAACAAAAACGAAAAACGATTCCAATAAGTCTAAAATCAGTTTGAAATACACCAAAGTATTTTGCTTAGTGGAAATAATAAATTTAATCTTTTATCTTTGTATTAAAAATAAAAATGAAAAATTAAAGAAAGATTTTTCATTTATAAAAATTAATTTTAAATCTTAAGTATAGCATTTCTTTAGAAGTATCTACACACACATATATCAGTGTCGACTCCGGAGGTCGGGCTTGTCGGGCTCAGCCCGAGTGAGTCAACATTCAAAGAGAACAAAAGAATAGCAATCTGGAGGACAGTAGATAGCGGTTGTAAAATTGATTGTAAAGTATGGAGCCGGAAGGGAGTTCCACAAGCGAGATGTGCGAGAAAAGAAATTGTTAGCATAGAACTTATGTTTACATCTAGCCAACTCAACTGTATGTTGATGAGACCTGGTTGCTAATCTAGTACTGTGCTTAAATTATCTTTAAAGAATTGCAATTAATGCGCTTGTGTGTGAGAACTAATAGTTATGGAATACCTAAACTCAGAGTAAATGATAGAACTTCTCTCATATTTAATCCCAATTTCTTGGATTTTTCAACGTTGTGTGTGATAAAAAGAGAAAGAAAAATAGAGAAAAAAAAAAAGGAACTCCAGTCCTAAAATCTGTAAAGAAGAAAAACAGAGAAAAGAAGTGTGGATTTTGAAGCATTTGTTGCACTTATTTGGTGAACACGTATCCAGATCTCGTGGTCTGAACACAAAGATGAAACGTAATATTTATAAAATCATTTGCCACACAAACCACTTATATGACGTTATCCAATAATAAAAGAAATATAAGGAGACCAAATACAAGCAGCGAAATTATTCCTACCTTTAAAAAGAACCAGAGAAAAAATATCCATCTTTCACATACAACAGCAAAGAAAATGAAGTCAAATTATGAACGCTATTAAAATTTTTCACTGCGAATTTATATTTTTGGTTTTAAAAAGAAAACCGAAAACTAGTACCAAGTAACTTTAGCTATACACCAATGAAATAGTAAATAAAAAGTGTAACGCTGATTACAAATAGATAACTATAAGACTTAGTGTCACGCTGATATCAGTTCATCTGAAAAGGTATGTGGAATATGCCTACCTAAGTTTGTTTCATCCCACTATAGTAAGATCAGAGGGAGATCTGTAATGTTAAACGAGATTTGTCATTCTCAAAAATCTGGCTGAAGACACGTACTAAAACTGTCAACCTTTCCTTTTCTCTCTTAAGTGGAATGTACCTGTGTTGGGTACGTAAATATACTCCTGCTTAGCACAATCAACTCAGACAATCGACTTTATTTTCAGTTATTCCAAATTTTTTGCAAAGATATATATATATATATATATATATATATATATATATATATATATATATATATATATATATATATATATATATATATAAATAAAGATAAACAGTAAGATATATAATCCGTTAGAACTGTGTAGCGGAAAAACCATATTTTAAATCAGTTAATTTATAATATATATATATATATATATATATATATATATATATATATATATATATATATTTATATATATATGAACATATCTATATACTTTTGCATGTATGAGAGACTGGGTATTAAAGTTAGTGACAATAATTAATGCTGGGTTATTTATAACCCAGCCAAATAAGCTTTTTCTTTTGGCATCGAAGTGTCTCTTACTATCTGACTAATTTTAATTTATTCCATTGACTCAGACTTAAAAAATAATAATAGAAGAAATAAGATGCTGTAGTGAAGTGATTTCCTTCTAAAATTTATAATCCAGGAAATTTGGGAGTGAAAATAGCTTCCAATAAAAAAAGTGTCAGTTAATTTTTTTTCAGGCATGGTGAATTTAAGTTTTAAGAATACAAAAAGTCTTAGTATTTGCACGAATTCCTTCCAAATTATAAAGTAAGAGAGATAAGAACTTCGAAAAAATCTTACCAGGCTCATCTGTTGTTGGGCTGCGCTGAGTGACTGTACTAGGTTCATCTGTTGAAAAAAAGGAAAATAATCTTTAGAATAAGTCAATAAATTCCAGCCAGTTCACATGACAATATTTTTCTATGTACATTGTAAAATTTGTTATAAGCAAAATATTGTTGATGTGTGTTGGATTCAATTCTGTAAGAAAAACAAAAAAACTCCGTAGTTTGTTATTCTAGGTCTCAATTGCATGTCTGTAAAACGCCAAGCATTTGAAAAATACCCGTAGATTGCCGTAAAAAGTACCATGTGAAGTGAATATAATAAACCTTTCTAACCTCAGGTAAAAAAACAAGTAGAAAATTACTGATAAAATGATTGTTTATAATAGAGGTTAAATCGATGTTCTGTCCTGTTTTAATACTACACGCATTTTTGTAAGTCAAGGACGTCATCACTCATGTATCAATTCATTATTACAAAATAAAATTGTCACCTATTCATATAAGAAACAACATTAATCACATGCAAAGCTGCTTCTGCGGTAGAGCATTTGGATGTCGAGAGGTTTCAGACAGATTCTATTTGTTTTTTAATTCTCGTTATCAGAAAAAAAAAAACGAAAAAAAAAAAAAAACAAAAAAACAGGTCAAACTGATTCTTTCACATGCAATTAAACACTAACTTTGTACAAAAGTTTGTATGTCTTCAAATGTGCTTTTAGGATTAAATCGTCCGGGAAGCACATCTTCAACATGAACAGAATGCACACTGAAAGAAATATACAAACATGCGTTCTAAGATATATATATATATATATATACACTTACAGGGGGGGCACTGAAAAGACTTTTATTAAGGGATAGAAAGGTTGTTTCGAGCCTCTTTTGATTCTCCATTAGTCGTTTTCATTTCGTACTTTTCAATTTTATACAGCGTTTTTTTTTTTTTTTTTTTTTTTTACATGAGCTCGCAGAGAATATAAATATGTGTTTTCAATCTATGCAGACATGAAATTTCTGGGTTCTATTTTGACTTCTGGGCCTGGATATGATTATGACCCACACACTCTCCCTCTTATGAGTCCTGCATGCATATACAATAATATAAGTAAAAAAACGATATAGTTTAAATGGGTAAATTTATTTTGTCGGTGAAACGAAACGGAAGATAATCAATTAAAACATTGATCAAAACGGGGATTCCAAGAATATACACTTAAAATATTTTTAAACATTTAGGACAAAAATATTTTTAAATCTCTTTTTAAAGAACAGTCGATTGTTTTATTTAAATTCTGAGATTTGACTAAATAATAACAGCAGACTAGTCAGATTAAAAACTGACTCGAACTTGTAAGTGATGATATTTTGATGACTCTGATAATTAATTTGATGACTCCTGTCTACTCTGTCTCAATTTAATTTCGTTTGAACGAATATTATACGACCTTCTGTCTAATATCAGAGGAACAAAATATAACTTCAAAATCACAGCCATTGACTCTTTAGCTTTGTTTAACGCTTTCATTAGAACAAAATCAGGCCAATCAAAATATTTCCTGACAGGTATATGTGCTACAAAATTTAACTATATTTTTACAATCTTCTTCCAGCATATTTTACAGTTATAACTTGGCGGACAGTTAATACAATAGGTTGGATATTGTAGAACGCATAACTTTTTCTTTTATGCACCGTGTCCTTTAAGGATGTGGGCAATCATGGTTCTCTACAAATTCCTATTCTTTGTAGTTCTTTGTCTTTCTATTATTCTTTTCAATACTTGTTTTTCCATCCATTTACACAAACTTGTTTCGTAAGTTAGTTACTATTTTCGTCTGCCCTACTTGCTCTTAACATGCCTTTTGAGTACCACATTTTCCAGGCCCTCTTTTTTTATTATGAAAAATTTCAACTGTTTCTGATACTAAGTCTCTACCTTATATGTGAGGAAATTATCCAGCATTCTTTGTTACAAAGGAGGTTGATGTTATGTAAGAGCTCAATATCTTTTCTTTGTTTCTAATGAAATCTTTTTTCTTAATAATTCTATTATAATCAACGTGATTCGAGTTGGTTATCTACATTTTTGACCTCTGACATTGTAGGCAAGAGTACATATTTTAGTTGTAGTAATGGTAGATACAATAAAAGATGAATGATATTAACTGAATGTTTGCCAATGCGAATGTTTCATTGTATAAAGTGTGATGTACCAAAAAGCAGTATAATAGAACTCCAACCATATCACCAATTTTTGCCATATCTTCAGAAAATCATATATACCAAATATCAGTTATAGCAATTACTGATAATAGACTGGAAAGCTCGTTAATCGCACGTTTGATCTTTAAGGAATGCTTCATACACACGCGCCCATTTGATTCAGGTCTTTGATTCAGTGTATTATAAACATCACAACAATGTCAAGTGCCATACACGCACGCATCATTTTTTAATGCAATCAATTTTCCTTCAATGGAAGTAGTTAAGAAAGCAATAAGTATTAAATACAAAACGAGTTCCAAGGTAAGCGTATTTATTCATCACAAAGAATTATTAGGATAGGGACATCAATTCGTAGGGCTTATATTTTAAGAGTAGTCACAGAAAAACTGCGGACCGCGAGCCGCATGCGGCCTGTTTCTAAATGGCGCACTTATGTAAGCCTAAATAGCGTTTCTTAAAATTTTGTTCCATTTCGATCTCACTCACATTTTCTTATACATAACCACTTACATAAACAATGATTAATACACAATGTTTCTTGAAATTTTTAAAACTTTCAGTGAAGGTAACGTTTCTATCATTTTAAACCATTGGCAATTTTTACTAAGGAAGAGCATATGCGTAAACATCATTTGCTTTAGAAAGTGGAAATCTTTATAAGTTTTTTTCATCTGATGACGAAATATATTCGTCTTTTAAAAAATATTTTTCGTATAGTTAAATGAATAAATTAGAAACAAATTACTCATGGTAATGTGCGTTAATCACAATGTCATCAGTGATAATATTGATAAAATAAATCAACCTTTTCCGATTTCTAAGACAAATGTTTACGCGTATGGTCTACAGTAATGAAAATGACCGAGACACCATAAATGAAAAATTAACTTGGTGCTTTTGTACAGCCAGCTTATTGATATCATAGCTTATGCGGCCCAATGCTTGAAAATGTTTGGCCATGACTGTTTTAGAGAAATCATTTAGGCTTAAATAATTTGAAAAAAAATACTAAAATCTAAAGCAAGTTAAATGTTAGGTGATCCGATACAAACGTGGATATTATGGTGGCAATATTACTTGAAGCTAGATATTAATCTTAACATTTTTATTGAAAAAATTGATAAGTTAATGTATATCTCTATAAGAAATGTCTTCAAAGAAAATTTTGAGAAAAATATCTGCAGTATAAAAAGTAGTAATTAAAGAATTAACAAAGAGCAAGAATGTTCAATTAACAATTCACTTGTGGGGCAAAATGGGATTTTCGTCGGAACTTTTATGCCAAATATCTAGAAAGTACGTTTCTGGCATTTGACTTGAAAGCTTCTCGGGCATTATACAAGTTGCTAGCATATAGACGTGTTAGTACGCGTGCCTAGTTGTGCATAAAAGGCAAATGTGTGTAAAGCCAGAGCTTTCAAATTTCAATCACTGACACCAAAAATGCATGCTTGTTGTGTGCGTTATGAAAGCATTCTAGCAGAGCATGGTGAATGCGTGAGAAATATTCTGCAAAGATTTCATATAAAAATATAGCCTTACATTTATTAATCTCATTTAAAATTAGCTGGTATCCTTGAATATACATTGGTGAATTAAGGCGTAAACTTTGTAGAATTAGAAGAGTTTGTTTAGAGTTTAGAAAAATAATATTGTCTACTGTAAAATCTACTTTCGGCTTATTAAGTAAAAATATTGGCTCGAAATAAAAGTACGTAGCGTTTTTTAAATGAATTTCAAAGACGATATTTAGATATTTGTACAAATTTATTCAGTTACATATGTGCCATTTTGTTCCACTACTTTTGGTCAGCTTTCAAGAAACTTCATCATTCCATTCACCCAGAACTTACCATCTTTCTCGTCTAAGTAATTTTTACAGACTTCCAGAGAACAGAGATTCTTCTCATTAAGAGAAGCTTATCAAAATAAGTGATAATCCGAAGGTGCAAAGTTCAGTTGAGTACGGCATCTTTTTGCAATTTTGGGTTTTGTACTTTGTTTTCTTACTTTGTCCTTTAGCTTCCCCGTTCAATCTATATTTCATCTTAAAGGTTCTGGTAGAAAATCCTAACTTATTTCTACCTGATGTGCAGGTAAGTGTAATGGTTAGCGACTGAAAAAGAAAAGTTCCGGTCGAATTTGTTTTATTCACTTTTGCCCAAATACCCTTTGGAAATGTATAAATCCATTTCTTTTCCCCACTATCTATGGGCTAAGCAGTAGTGTAGACTGGACTCGTTAGTCATGGTTCTCAACGAGTCTAGGAAAAGACAACTCTTTCAGTTATATGGTCCTTACTGGATCACATAACTAGCCAGTGAAAAAAAAATGGAGTTCACAATGGCAACGTGAGGTTGTGGATCTAGAATAAAAAATTTCTAACTTTGTTTCCTCAAAAATTCATTCTTAAGTTAAAAACGAAAGCATAAAATAAAACATTCAAATCCCGATGCATCGTATAGTATAAGAACACTTTCCCACTATTTTATCTTAATTATGAACCCAGCTTTTTGCATAAGTCCTCTGTGGTCCCATATATCTAGGTCCCTTTTATGTTTTAGGCCAAGTGGATATAATGCCACAAATTTGATCAAGCACCAGGTCATCAGCAACTCCCACATAACTGTGACAGAGCAAGACAAGAGCCAGCAAGCCCACATGCCAGGCGTTTAATAACGACGTCCGAGCGAGAGGAAGGCAGCTCGTTGCCTTACCTGGACATATGGGACAACACTCATCATTAAGCTTTAGCGTCTTCTTACATTTGATAGTTTCGCACGTCTTCAGGTGACATAGAATTCTTCCGTTCTGTAATAAAAGAAAGAAAACGACATCAATGAATAATGTTTAGAAACAACATCAGTAAAAAATAATAACAAGAACATACCGAAATATTTAATTTAAATAAATATAAATTTTAATTTTGTATAACGTCAGTCTTTTTTCATGATATTAGTGCAGATTTTGAAATTGTGTTTAAATTGCAATTGAAAAAAAAAGCCTTTGAGGCTATAGCTCTAAACTACATATTACTTTCTGAAGACATTCTTAGTATCACATAATAGAAAATGGTAATAATTTAAAATCGTATTTCAGTCTGTTACTTTATATTAAAGAACAAAAATGTTTACAGAATCTCTTCGATTTGCTTTGGTTCGAATGTATCTTGACTATGTCGTAAATCACTCCAACAAACCAATAGAAATTACATTTTGTAAATATTTGAAAAGGTAAATTGTAAACTCATTCGGACACCGACATATATAGTTTATGAAGACAGTTTTGTAAATAATCGAACATGTCAAAATTAGTTTTCTATGTTTGGAGCCAGGGATTTCTCGCTGAACCCTGCTCAGCAGTTGATTTTGATAGCAATCAAATGAAGACATTATTTCAGAATAATCAACAGGTCGTACCGGCACAGAATATAGCCAACGGATTGAAAATATCGAAATCGATCGATGAAACTCATTTATACCAGCGTGATTATTTTCATTGCGTTGATATGTAACTTCCATAGAGGCTAAGCGAAAAAGACAACGAAAACTTCGGGATTGGATTTTTGTATGTGATGAACTAAACGGAAAGAAAATGTTCTGATTTTGAAAGAAATTGTGGCGTCGATGAAAAGTAGAGTTTAACACAACGTGGAACACAAAAGATCGTGGAGTAAAGAAGATAATACTCTTTGTATTGTGCGAGTGAAATGGAAGTTTTGTGCTATGTGCTCCTCGCAGAAGACTAAACGATGAATATGATCAAGAATTGATCCCAATTAAATCAACTGAGAGCAGATATTGATGATAAACATCCGAAATTAATTAAAAAAATAGACATAATATTTCAAAAAGATGACGCTTGATTGCATATTTCTTTGATGAATTGGCAAAAAAAAATTTTTCATCCATCCACCATATCTACCAGATATTGTACTTTTAGATTTACTCTTTTTCCGATGTTTACGGAATTATCTTAATGAAAAAAGATGTTTGGGTGTAGCAAAATAAAAAAAATAGGAGAATTTTTTATTGACAAAGAGAAAAAACTTGTGGGAGAATTAAATTTCCAGAAAAAATACAAAAGATAGTTAAGCAAAATCGTAAAAATGCTGTTCAATGAAGTTAGTGCCGAAAATAAAAAATTTAAAAAAATGTTTATTTTTCTTAATAAACTGAGGGAACTTTTGCCATCCAATACGAGTAATCGAAGCGCGAATCTTAATATACTGACACTAATAAAATATAAATAATAATGATCTATAACGCATAAAAACTTTCGTGAGCAGATAACAATGATTCGTCTGTAAAAGAATGAACTATCGATAAATAGAAAAGAAATGAAAGCGTATAAGGAAAGTAAATTGAGAGAGAGAGAGAGAGAGAGAGAGAGAGAGAGAGAGAGAGAGAGAGTGTGTGTGTGTGTGTGTGCAGGAGAGAAACACCTATAGAATAACATATATATCTCAAACACAAAGCATTCACTGACTTAGGCGTATATAGATGCGCAGGTATATATATATGTTTATTTGTAAACACACACAGGTGTATAAGTGCACATGTGCAAGCAACCAGACTTAAGCATGCACGCTTAGTAGAAACGAGCATAAAACATCTTCAAATTCTAAATCAATCTTTACCAGCTTCTGCAAGTCAATGCAGTAAAAACTGGCAATGATTACCTTTCATCGGACATGCCAACATTCATTGTTATTTATACGTTGAACTATTTACCAGATTAAACTCAATTTCGAGGCATGCTTGTACTTATGTGCGTAGGCGTTTTAGAGTAGACATGTTCAATTTCAGGCTCGTGCTTTTTTTAGTCGGTATATGTATAATAGTTTAGCATCTAGAACAGAAATAGGTACCTTTCGTTACTGTATTGCTTAATCTATTCGTCTAGTTCGAACACCTTAAGTTTGGTGTGATTAACAGGTAAATGTATTTTAAACCTATTTCTTACCGAACAAATGCACGTCACACACTGGTTGCTTCTGGTTGGCTTCAGTGCTGTTTTGTTGGAGGTGAATATGGCCCCATGCTCGTAGTTTCGACCGTAGAAGGTACAGCCGAGTTTTTTCGTCTTTGTTGAATTCTCCTTCGTCAGCACTGTAGGAGGAATGTTGTCAAAATCTACGTAAATAATAGTGTGACCGCGTCACCACGCTGGCAACAAAAAGAACTGGCCCGGGAAGGGCACATGCAATTAAAAAAAAATGGACATTTAAAACACAGGACATGTACTTCAAAGAACTCAGAATAAAATCTAACGTTCTCGCCAGATCTTGACATCATCAAGACTTTCTTTCATTGGGCGGTTTTAAAATTAATTGATACTGAATCTCTTGCAGAAACTGGAAGACATGCGTCTGTTTATACTGTTTATATTTACAATAAATGCAACAAAACCTATTGTATGTAAAACTTTTATGAACTATAATTTTATTTTTTCATTAATGTAAAAAATGAAACTAATCTTTGTTCTTAATTATGTTCGAATTTTGATGAATTCTTTCGCCGCAGACTGGAAGTACTTTATAAAATGTTCATATAAGATCTTTTAAAGCGCAAATAAATGCCACAGCTGTATTGAAGCAAAATTTCAAATACTTAAGTAGGTAATGTAAAGAAGGCTCTGGAAATCAGCTTGGAAGAAGTTGGTCACTGTGAACCCGACTGAAAGAAAGTACAAAACATCTGGATATAAATAACACAGAAGTAGTTGATTATCAAGAATTGACTATAAATCTTTCCTCCAGAAAAGATTAATACTTACTATAATAATAATAATAATAATAATAGCCAGGGCCCTTTCATTTAAAAGTACATGTCACGTGCTTTGAGTGTCTGCAGAAATTCAAAATAAGATACAAAAACAAGTCCACAATGTTCCAAAGATTAAAATGCCTTAACGGGTGCATAGAATTGCAACAATAATCATTTTTGGGTGATCTATTGAAGACATGACTCATCGTTTATAGACATATTGCATGTAAGGATTAGAGAAACTCGCGAAACGTAAATTGAATTCTTTGAAAATATACCAAACTTCTTCGAATCGTTTTTGTAATCAGCCGAATATTGGTAATTTTATTTGAATCAAGCCAATAGACACGTATACATCCAAGTCATGCTTTCAACAGATGTCAACAAATATATTATACATTTTTACTTGATTTTTTATATACTTCCAAACAATGTATGGTGTTATTGCTTTGAGAAAGTAATGAATCTTGCAAAATCTTTCTCTGTTATTAAATTAATAGTAGAACCCGTGTAAAAATCCCTGTAATTTTTACAAAAAGTGAACAATGGAATTAGTATATTTCATTATTACAAGGAATAAAATGGAAATGAAGCCTAATTTAAATAAGATTATAAATACGTATTCAAAGTAGTAGCTTGTTTAGTTATTTTTATACTAATGTTCACCCAATACAAGGCCCAAGAGCCACTCAATGTAGAGGGTTACTGTGTATGAGCATAAGAAATGTCAAGAAGTGAAGTTCATTGGGTTATGCAAGAAATATACTGGCTAATCCTAGTCTTAAAGAGGTAAAAAATGTAGTGATTGGGAAAACACCCAACTGGGAATCCATTCCACAAAGCAGTAGTTCTTGGAACTTACTTTTTACTGGGAAATGGGGATGATTCACAGTTGTGTACATGGTATGGCGGGTCCTAGTTGTAAAGGTCAGGGGTGGTGGGATTAAGAAATATAGCTCGTCAGAAGACATGTCATGGAAATAGCGATAGAGCAAGGAGAGGCTTGTCATGTTTCGTCTGTGGAAAAAGAGGGTCTAAGGTGGAAACTCATCACCCACAAGGTCACATCGACGCTTTTGGACTTTATCACAAGAGGCAAGTGAGGACTGGGCAGCTCCAGCCCAGATGTGACGGCAATACTCCATTTTTGTTCTGATCTTGCTCTTGTAAAGATAGAGTATAGCAGAAGTTGTCAGATACTTACTGGAGCGGTAAAATGGACTAACCATTTTCCAACTACCTTTAGCAATGGGTCGGATATATGAGTTCAAAATGTTCTAAAGAATTAAGTTCTGGGGAGAGCTCGAGTTCAAGACAAGGATTCTCCTTGAGCGAACACCCGACCATCATTTATAGATGATATTTCGAGGTCTCTTCATTGGTAGTGGAACGTTAGTAGTTTAGTTTTCACCATATTGAATTTCACAAGCCAGTCCTTCCCCCATTAAGCCTATTGATAGAGGGAAAGTGCTGCTAATATATGCATATTATTTTATTTGCATAGTAAAAAATATGTTGGGTTATTAAATGTTTGTACCCTGCTTTTCAATGTGTTTGTTGCACCAACATTGATTTGCAAGAATAACTGCATTACAGTAAATGGTGTGGATTGTCTAGTTGTATGAATGGCAAAGAAAAAAAATAAACGTTAAAAAAAAAAAAAATAGAGGATAAATGTTTATTGCATTGTCTGTCTAGTAAATATATTTTCCGAAATTATAATTTTTTCCGTTTAAATCGAGTAAAAGAACAAAACAATTTGATCCAATAACTTATGTTCATTTTAGATATGATTTTTTAAAATCAGTTTTAGCGTATGAATTAATAATTAGAATATTAATGCTGACCGTAGATGGTAAATATTTTGTTAGTGACATTCTTTTATAAGCGTTTACTTCTCACCTTCACATTCAGGACAGCATCGATTTGGTAAAATTTTCGGTGCATCACACTTCGGTTCTGGACAATCTTGTGTTAAGTGAACGCAATGTACGATAGCATTCTGGAGAGAAAAGTGCGTCAGCAATGCAACAGTTTATAAGATTATTTTGCAATTATTGGTTTGTTGTTTTATACCTACATAAATGGTATTTTAATACAGTTTTACAAGTAAAATTTGAAAATATATACAAAACATCGATTTATAAGCGGATTCTACCAAAATGTAAATTAACAATTATCCTTGGATGATAATACTTACATTTGCGTGATTTGTCAATAACAATTTTACCATAAAAATAATAAAGTTTTTGCAAATATTTTGTGACTGAAATTTTACAAATTAATAAAAAATATTGTTGCTTCAATTGGCTAAATTTTCAGAAGTTTAGTGTTGATATTGGCAGTATGAAGCCAAATAATTTAAAAAAAACAAAACCTACCGGTAAACAGGTACAATTGGCGCAAGGCATTGCACCAAACGGGGCCAGTACCGGGTGCCAGGTCGCACCTACCGGGTATTGTTGATCGTTTAAGGTACACACTTCAGGAGCTGTAGGATAATTTTTGAAAAAAGGAACAGAGACTGAATGAAGTGATCAAATAAGAAAAACCAATACAATATTCTGAAGTTGTAATAAATAAAGAATTTGTCAAACATGAAAGCAGTAGCAGTCTCAGCAGCAGACAGAAAAAAGAACTTTAGGTTTAAGGCTCCAAATTTTAGCTTTAGGATTACTCCACGGCGCAATATCCTAGAGGATTATTGAAACAATAGCGTTGGTTCGTGAAATTAGTGACATAGTAACTGTAAGTTCAATCCCTGGTAATACAATAAATAAGTAAAGCAAATAAGTGAGCAGTACTAAATAAAAACAAGACGACTTATCTCTAATATGGACAGAAGAAAGAGAACAATTTCCCCCTGTATATTAAATAAACGGTTCACTTCAAATTTCCTTGAAGATTATTTGAATCGACAGACACCTAAGAAAAGCCAAAACGTTGTGATAATAACAATAAAGGTAATGACATTAGTCTGAATGTAAACAACAAAAAACAAAAAAGAAAAAAAGAAGAAATAACCCACTTTCCTTATGATCTGGTGTATCTGGCAATTTATCGGCCTTTTTTCCTTATCAGCAAAGTTGTGTTGCTTTGACTTAAACTGACTTAACGAAATTACTTCACTTTCCCAAAATATACTGCGATAAGCTCCACTGCTTTCTTCTTTTGTATTGCCAATCAAAATGAATGTTTCATAGAAAAAGAAAACTGTCTACTTCTCTGAATTATTTATAGCCTTTGTGGTGTAACGGATAACGGCTCGGAGAGCCGAGTTCGAATTCCACCCGGGTTCGTTACATTCACTTACGCTCAAGTACTCTTTGGCAAGGTATGATTTCATCTATTCTACCCCACCCAAGCCATCGGTCAGGCGGGACAGACTGGATCATATAGCCTTGGTTGGCAACGGCAACCTGATGACTAGGTAGAAAATCATTTACTTAGTCAGTCATGAATTGAAATAGACATAATCATCCAAGCGTGTATCACGTATGACACTTAACTGATTGACAGAATGTTGCAGCGAAAATCAAAAACAAAACAGCAGTTATATAAATTTCGGATTTTTTTTAGTACTTTACCAACGGGCTATATGAGGCATATGTACGCCTGGAGGTGGTGGGACAGTTGTGATGAGGACAATATTATACAAGACATGCCACCTATTGTAATACGATGAGTAGCTAACTCGTCTCGTGGGAATATTTCTTCAATATATTGAGTTTGATCTCCACTGAGTAACCTACCGCCGTGGTTTTATACCAAACTTAGTAAATAACCATTGTTCATTTAGTGAATTCGATTCTCATTGGACGCCCTATCACTGTATTGTACCAAGATAAGCTTTGTTAAGCAAAGGCACTATACTGTAAGAGACAGATTACTTTTTGAACTATAGAAATGAATAAGAAACTCTTAGCTTCTGTGCTAATTATTGAAAAGTTAGCGAAACACGATAAGCGGTTTCGATCCAGATTGTCGCTGTTAACACTTTTTTATTTTATCTTCAGAAAAAAATTTCATTTTGAAATGAAAAAGTCATTAAGTGGAAAATTATCTTTTATTATTAAAAAAATAAATTTGTGGTGAATATTTAATTTTAATATAACTTATTCGGAATCAAAATATCATGTACATAAGCAATATTATCAGTTAAAAAATATGGGTTCATGTTAGAGGCAATAGTAATTAAACATGAACGGCTAATGCTTCGTTAGTTTTTAAACAAGATAACAAGAAAAAGATTTAAATGAAATTCGCACTCATCATTCAAGAATGCCTCCATGGTTACTAAAAATAAATTGTTCAAATGATATTTATTTGAAATATTTGTAGAAAGTTCGCAATTAAAAATGTATACATTTGTGACGTCAATTTTTGTAACCAATAAAATGTTTAGAAGGAAACTTATGGATTTTAACAAAACTTTATCAACCTTAATTTAAAATTTTAATTAAGTTCTTGGAAGCTGTTAAGGTAGAATTAGTTACATCTTGTAGCTCGGGTGTTTTGATAGTAATCTTTCCTCTTTTTACAAATGATAGAGGCATTACCAAAGTGCAATGGGACAATGTTCAGATCCGACTAAGATTAAATGTTCTATTCGCCAGTCTCTTCCGTAGAGACGAAGACTGACACTATAAACTCTTCGTATTCTTCTAAACTACATTCTTAATCTGTGATATTCACATAGTATAGCAATATGATTAAGAGTACCGACCCTCGGTTCATCAGAGTGACATCTGATGACAGTATTGCCTTCATTCGATAAATACTTGTATTCTTTACTAATCTTGACTTGTTTATTTGTCATCTGGTCAAATGTAAAGAAAATGCTTAATGTAAGAAATTCAGACAAGTCTATTATTATTTTTCGTTCATTAACATATACTGTGATAATAGGCGCGCGTGGCTGAGTGGATAGAACGTTATATCAAGGAGGCGACGTGTGTGACACCGGTGACAATCATACCATGAACTGACTTAAATTTTGTGAGTGAAATTGGGTAGACGAATCTGTTCGGATGACGTCAGTGCTTATGCTTACAATGTCACAAGTCAATGTGATCGAGGGCTTGAAACTATTTATAATGTTCGACGACTGATCACGCCAGACTTTGCGCTCTCTCCTTGAAACTGTAACTAAAGCCCGCTCAGTAGTTAGTTGCAATATAAACCATAGGTTGATCCTAGGCGTTGGAGAAACGCAAATGTACCCGAATAGGCGTCTACAACAACTTGCTATTCAAGTAGATGCATATACTCGTAAATGATCGATATAGGCTTAAATGGAACGCAATGTCCAAAAATAAAACTGCATTTTCAAAGCTTCAGTTTCAATAAATGATGGAACTGTTTTGACGATGCTCTTTAGAAGCAGAACCTTATTTTCAGTAATTGGCTAAATTTTTGCAAAAGGAAGATGAAGGATGTGTCATTTGAAACATTATGTACGTGTGTGTGTGAGTGTTTGAGATAGATAAACAGATTGATAGATAGATAGACAGACCGACAGACAGACAGATATATATATATATATATATATATATATATATATAGATAGATAGATAGATAGATAGATAGATAAATTGACTATTTAAAAAGTACACGAAAATAGATAGCTTTTCGCAAAATCTCAGAAAAACAGTTTAGTAATCGTATAAAAAGGAAATATAAATGTCCGTACCACTAACTTGTAGCTACACAAGTTCTCATAGCATGCATCTATTTATTCGCAGTGTGTACGAAATGAACCGTTGGACAACGAGCCTGGTAATCAACAATACCTGGCAACAAAAACAAATGTATGATGACCATGAATCCAATAAATGTACTTGAATGGCTCCAGATATCGTGCGAGCCGTCCACGCAGGTCCGCTTCCGATTTTTGCGATGGGAAAAACACAATTATTGTCAACTGGCGAGCTATTTCCGACAGACGCTTGGTGAAGACAACGACGACGATGACATGTTTGGAAGCGCCCGAAAGTCGGGAAAATATCTAGTCTATGAGAGAGAGAGAGAGAGAGAGAGAGAGAGAGAGAGAGAGAGAGAGAGAGAGAGAGAGAGAGCGTAAACGAAAAGCATTAATTAAAGAGATATCTAGGTAAAATAACGTAACTTTACCCAGAAAAAGAGAAAAGACTTAATAGCAATCTCTCTCTCTCTACACACACACACAAACACACACACACACACATATATATATACATGCATACATACATACGTATATATATATATATATATATATATATATATATATATATATATGAGAAGGTACTGAAAAATTCTCAGCCATGCCAACTAAAAAATTTTTTAAAGAGGTTTCTGATCGGGCCTAGATATATATATTGAGTGCCCCTCGTGTCTATATATATATATATATATATATATATATATATATATATATATATACGAGGAGGCACTCAATATAATTATATATGATAAATCTCAATAAACAATTCGATTACCAGTAGAATATAGAAGGAAATAAACGAAAGGGAAAAGCGAAAGTTTGAAATTAGGGAACTAAATAAATGGAGAAGTTTTAAGAAAGGATGAAAGAAAAAGACTTTTGTGTAATTCTGTCTTTATAGCTGTCTGTGACGTTATGGCTATGGGGAGCCAAAATTGATTAAACCAACGCGATAGTAAAACAAAAGGTATGATCAAAAGTGTCGACTGAACGAAAGTAAAAAAAAGAAAAGAAAAGTAAAAAAAACAATAAGGTCCAGAGGGCTACTTTTATTCTCTCGCTCACTCCTCACTCTCTATCCCTCGGCACGCTCCAGGCCTCCCATCACAACCCCCTAGTGGATGTCGTCTGCTGGTCGTCTTAGTGGCGCGGGAATGAGTAGGTCGGAAATGAATCCGGAGACATAGAGCTGGGAAGCCTGTTCATCGTCTTGCCGACCTTTCGTCTCTTTCTTTTTCATCCACTGTCTCTTTCAATTTTACATTTTGTTCTTTTAATTTTTGTCTGACTTTCTCTTTTAATCTATTATTCTTTCTGTATCTCAGTCTCTTCTCCCAGAGAACTAATTGTACGCCGTCCGCTCCCTTACCTCGGCAGCCGTTTCGTCGTCAGTCAAGAAGAGAAGAGACGGTCTCAACTTGAGTTTTATGAGTCTCGCCATCACTATCATATTTCTCCTGAGAAACGATAGCGGTACTAGAGCCATCACCCTCACTGAGCCGCCCAAAAGTCTAACGGAATAATGAAATGGTTTTGTCTTTTGTTTGGATTTTTTGTGCGCTTTTTGAAGGCTCAGTTAGATGTAGATATGGAACAGGAAAGTAAGGCCACTAGAGAAAGACAGACAGAGAGATGCACATTTAGAGAAGCGCGGGGTCGGGGAGGGAATTACTGTGGGTCTCGGGAGGAAAAAGAGATGAACAGATAGAGAAATGAAGCCTATAGGTATATCTATCATTGTTTATCTTTATTTTGTTATGAAAGAAAAAGTTAAAAAGAGAATGGTTTGTAAGAGAAAGGTAGACATTTTGCCCATTAAGATGAAGATGAAACTGAATGATTCAAGTAGGGAGAGAAAATAGCAGAAAATGACAGAAAATAAGAGAGAGAATAATAATGCATTCAGAACTATATATATATATATATATATATATATATATATATATATATATATATATATATATATATATATATTCAGGTATATTTTCTTTAGCTCTAGACCGGTAGCCATTAATTAAGTCTAGTCAAATACGTGTACCCAATAAATATAATGTTAAAAGTAATAAAAAAAGTCGGGTTAAAAGATGCATTAATTGGTTTGCCACAAATTCTATAATTACAGTTTCTGATCATAGCATTGTTACCTACAAGTCATGAGGAAATATTCATAGGTTTGAACACTATCAAGTGTTTAAAAAATTGATGAAAAAAAACCCCGCCCTTTTTATGACAACTATATATACACTGAACCAAATTTTAGGATGCAGCAATTTGCTAGGTAAAAATTTTCAGAATATATTTATGTGATAAATATCTCATGTGAATTTCAGTTTATAATATCTGTTTGTGTTACTAATAGTAACAATAACTTATCTAATTGTGTGTAACTATTATTCAACAAAAGGGTTGTTAATCATATTTTAAATAAATATGTCTAACAGTATATATTGAGTCATTATTAAGCTAATTTTTAATTTCTTATACAGATTGCCATGGATCGTAAAAAATGTTATAACTTCAAAAAAGAAAAAAAAATGGTTATTGAGCAAATGGAATAAAATGTTGTAAATTGTTAAAAGTTGAACAGAGATCAAAGAAGAAACAAAAAGAAATTGAAAACTTTGTCATGATAAGAATAAGAAAAATATGGCTTTAAGAATATAACAAAAAAAATCCAAGAAAAAAGATTACGATAATAAACAAGAAAAGTGGTCTGAGTAGCAAGTAAATATTTTAAGCTGCGATTATGAATTTAAACAAAGATAAATTATGGGAAATATTAAGAATATTGTCTAATGACATGAAGGCAAACACCTTTACGTAAACGTCACAAAGATAAATTTATAAATTGGGCCATGAAATGTATGAAAATTGATTTCTCAATAGTAATTTTAGTGATGAATATAGAACTACATTAACATTTGGTAGTTGTTGGATCCTTTATGGAAATCGTCAGCCAACATAACTCAGAAGACAAGGGCCGGTTTTACGGTAGTAAAAATATAAGACTTTACAAAATTGAGGATTGTATCAAGCTAAATTCGGAGTATTGTAAATTCTTGGACACGGTATTTTTGAGGGATACGTGTCACAACCATGAATCTTTAAACTAAACAGTAGATTTATAAAAAATAATTTTCCTTCCCAGGTCTACGAAACTGGTTATGGGCTATCTTGCCAAAGACTCTGAATTTATAGAATACCACGCCATCAGCCAATTCAAATATTAATCCAACCAACTATGTGGTCCATTATTCAAAGTGGTCTGTATGACAATGGAAAACAACATTCAAGCATTATTCCCGGGAAGTAAATAAATGACTGCAAGTAATGTTAAAAATAAAACAGTAACAAAATTATCAAAATTAATAAATGAAAGACTGATGTATGTTATAGAACGTCAAAGAGTCTATATTAACAGAATATAATGAAATAATTATTTATTCAGCTACATGGTATATTGCGTTAATCAAATATGTATTTTTATGGCCTATATTTTGGGATTTTTTAATAAGTAATGTACTTTGCATTTTGTATTTTAAATGAATAACACACAATTTGTTATAGAAATATAAGTATATCCTAAAACAGTGCTTGCATAATTTCACTGTGAAAACGCTAACTTGCAAAATAAGTTCGAACATAATATATATATATATATATATATATATATATATATATATATATATATATATATTTCTTAATGCACAGTTAATGCAGAAGTGGGTAGCATGCAAGGGTCACCTATTAAAGAGGATAGTATAAATATCCTTAGTTTCAAGGCACATTTCATATCCTCAGCAGTAAAGCCATTTGTAAATTGTTTATCTGTTGTCATTTCTAAGGTTTTATAAGTGGTTGTAATAACTTTTATGTCGATTTTTTTTTTTTAATTTGAGATCGAATTGGGATAAATGATAAGCAATCCAGTTAAGAATTTAGTCCGAATACACAATACATAAAGGGGTACTGAAAATCTTCTGTGACCAGATGACCACAGATCAGATTTTTTTTTATTCTTCCTTTTAGCATGCTCTCGTAGAAATTATCCATCTTCAATTTATTCTGGGTACAGTTTTGGTTACATCAGCTGTATAGACGACGACGTCTATTTAATTATTTATTATTCTAAAATGAACCACAAGCAACGCATATAACACAAAAGTGCATAAAACTAACAAAAATATATATTATCTCTGTAAAGTAATGTGTAATTCAATATTTTGAAACTTGAAATAAGAATCAAGTAAGCTTTAGATCGTGGTAATTAACAAAAATTTAATGCATCAATACAAATACTTTTTCTTCACCATTTTAAATATCACAGGATATTCATTATTATTGTTGTGACGGTTTAGCGTTATTCGTAATTGGGAAGCGTTCGTTACAGTTTCATTTTCATTTTCATTTTGTGCCTTACTTCGTAGGTGGCTTGATGTCAGCAAACAAATTTTAGTTTTGAAAGAATTATGCTGTTGACGAAGCAAAAGATATTTACAAATAACAGAAGAAACGATCAATTATATTGATCGACATTTAACTCACCGTCCTTTTGTTTCACATTTTTCGTCATCGCTCGTCCGAGTAAGATTAGTAAGAAGGCGAAATGCTTCAACCTGCGTTAAAAAAAAAGAGCAAAAATGTCACAAGGTAAAGGAAAATTTGAATGTTAATCTTTGCGTCATTTAAAATAAATGCGCTTCTGTTTAGTAAGGTTAATGCCGATTACTTCTTCAAAGTAAAATGCATTTTTATCATTAACAACTTTGAACAGAAAAAAGAAAAAACTGATAATAAAAGAAAGACAATTTGCAAAATGTATCTAAATCTCTATCTATGATGTGTGTGTGTGTGTGTGTGTGTGTGTGTGTGTAACGAATGCACGGCCGCAATTTTCGACGGATTTGCACCAAAATTTACATGCACATGCTCCAAGTTAGCGGTAAGGCCAAGACCGACTTTGCATTATCCAACTCTATCGATAGTGGAAATAATCGATTGTTTCATGCTTCTACGGCAGTTTTCATGTAGTTTGCGGCCATTTTGTACTGGCCAGAGTGAGAGCCTATAGCTGGCTGCCACGAATAGACAGGAAGATTCTATTGGCCAGCGTGAGAGCCAACAGCTGACTGACACGAATGTTAACTAGCATGCTAGCATGCAAAAAATATCGATAGCTGCATTCGTCACAAGTGGGAAAAAATTAAATCTGCATGGCACTTTACTCCAATTGGCTCATTCGTTTGCTTAAACTCAACGTTGATTCTGATTCCGCAGAACTGGGTTGGGTGTGAAAAAGTATTTGTTGTTCTTTTTTCATTCGGTTTTTCCAGTTACGAGTCCTTTTTTAAAGCTGATCGTTTTGTGTTCATTTTGTTTAGTTCTTTTTTCGTAACAGATTTAATGTTTAGTATAAAGCTTAGAAAAAAATTCGCAGTGTGAGATAAGCAAGAAGTAAGGAATGTAGCAACATCAGCACGGCAAAGGACACTCCTTTAAAGGCAAGGTAGGGCAAACATATTTTAAGTCAAGTGATAGCGATTGCTGTATGAGTTGTACGATTTTTGAATCAAGCACGGCCAACGCCGGGCCATGCTGCTAGTTTGTTAATATAATAAAACTTTGCAAAAAAAAAAAATCCTATTTTTCCGCTTCGATCATAGTGATTTGAAGCATTTTAAAAATATCTATCTGCCAGTATTAAAACATTTTACATTGTACTTGTTTAAATTAACCGATTTAGTTATTAAGTTTTTATTTACTCCAGCCAAGTTTGACTTTAAAAATTCTCCATTCTTTTTATGTACATATTGTGGAAATTATTTTACTTCCTAAGCAAATGAGAAATGGTGTGCTTATTATGAAACAAGGTATTTGAAGCTCAGTTTTAATTTGGATTCAAAAGAATAGCAATAGAAACAAATGTTTTCAGATGAAGCTGACGTCAAATCTTAGGCTGACTATGCTTAGTCGAAATAAAGAATAGAGCGGAAGATCGAAAAGTATTAAAGCTAAGAAAACTGCCATAAAAGGTTTAGATGTCAGATGGTATCTTCAACTTTTAGGATAAAGAGCTAAATTAAACACACACACACACACACACACACACACACACACACACACACACACACACACACACACACACACACACACACACACTATAATGAACACGTGTTCTGTTACAAAAAGTTTCGACTTTTCCACCATACATACAATAGACCATTACCAGTACATTGAATTTACCGCAGCCTCTTCTACTTGGACAGTTACCACTCTCTATTTCCGCCTGTCTTCCAACACATTTGTCCTTCTCCAAAAAATATACATTTTGCATATTCTTTCTTTGTTAAATTTTAAAATTTATTATAACTGCTTTTCTAATTGTTGAAGTTTACGCGCATAATACTCTATTTTCCACTAAATTTCACTAGATATATCTGCGAATTTGTGATAATTTATTAGTACATTGAAATTACAAGAACGACACTTCTGTTTTTAAAACAAAATACAAAGTACATTAATACTGGTTGTCAGTCACGTAGTTGTAATTTTGCATGAAATGTCAAAATTATATTGACATTGTAAATGTTTCTTTTTGCTCTTAGTGTTTATGTGCTAGCCCTAGAGTAGAAGCGTAACAATAGCTGAAGCGATTAATTCAGCAAGTAAGGACATTTCATTAATCACTGCCTTCTAAAACAGTCGTAATTTTTCTTGAAAGCCTAAATTGTTTTAAAAGAAAATATCCAACCCTGACGGCGATCAACGATGACCGAAAGCGCTTGGAAACCGAATTTAGGGTTCCTCTTCTCTCAACTGGACCCATACACACGAAAGATCGCCTGACAAATGGAAAAAAAAAACAAAACTGATAATCAAAAGAAAACATTCCGCTGTATTTAACGACACACGTCTAAATAATATAGACGTACGGCCATTTAGACATACCGCTAAATGATATGGATGTACAACCATAGGTTCGTCTATCGTCCAGTTCACACTCCTTTGAACAAGAGTAGAGGTTTATCCCTTATTTCCTGTTTAGGATTGCGTTTCCGGTTAATTCTAATGTGTATTTCAGCTCTGTACTGATAACGTTTGTCGTTTCTTACACTAATCTCACGAAAATCCGCTAAGTCTCTATCCTGAGTGGCTCTCGTGTTTTGTCTTGGGTGAACATTACTAAAAAAGTTTGTATTCTATACGCTTAACAGTCTTTCAGTTTCTCAGCCTGAAATAATGGTTAGAGTGCTTAATATGTTAATTTATGTTTGAATTTTAGAAATTATTATTACATTAGTTGCATTCGGTCTAATGTCCTCATCTTTGTTGTTGCTATGTTATTCATTGGTACCCGGATCAACAGACACCTGAATAAGGCTGTAGAGTAAATCGACTGAAACGTAGTGATAATAGTAACACAAATAAGTACGTTAGTCGGAATGTAAATAAAATAGGCTTAATAAATAATAGCATATACACAATGTAGTCAAAATAAAAAGCAATGTGTTTTTAACTACTGTTTGTTTTTTACAGGATGATTTCAATTTCATTTTCATCAAATTCCAATTATAGTGAATGAAGTGCTGCTGTATAGTGGAAAAGATTAGATTAAAATACAAACAGAAGTTCTTGACGTTTTGAAAGTAATTGCAAGTACGTAATAATAATGTTAGTGGGTCATCAGCTTGCGATACAGCCTCGTTTGCTCTTTTTTTGTTTGATCTACTCCTTAAACGATGCGTGTCGCGAAACCATTGACACAAGGTGTGTGTGTATGTGCGAGTTTGTGTTTTGTATGTACAACTGATCTCTACTGATCTTCTCCATGTCACTTTGTCATATCAAACAAAACGGGATTTTAAGAATATTAGTGTGTTGGTTGCAATCGTAGGAGAATGACTGCAACCCCGCTCTCTAAATTTATAGGCAAATCATACAGATGCATACTGAGATGTAATCTTAAATAATAAAATGAATCACTTCTCTGTCTCATCCACCATGTTATTTCTTGTCTTGAAGTCAGAACGCTACAATCACTTGACTGTATCCCTTTTGCATGTTGACACCATTCATACTTTGTGAACTTTTTGCCTTATCATTGTTGCTTTACAGAGTTTTGTTTTGCATATATATCGTTTGCTTAATATTATTTTGTCCTGTTATTTTTCCTTCTTTTCCTATAGCTTATTGGAAACTTTTTCAGTTCCGTTTGTTGGGGATTTTTGCTAATTACACTTAACCATGACCAATTACTCTACTCAGTGTGATGTCCTCGCATTCACTGCCTGACTGCAATGTTCATAGATTTTCTCCTCTATTAGAAAGAGATATTCACAATACAAACGATAATACAAATAAAAATATATGTGAGAAAATACACACACACACACACGTATATATAAACCTAGTTTTATTAAGGTTATATGTGTATGCGTGTGTGTGCCTGTGTAAAGAGCTGTACAAATAGAGCGTCAGTAGCAGAGATTCACTGAGAAACTCCTACACGCTCAACATGTTCATAAGCACCAGCAATCACATTTGCAAGGTCAAATACATAAATGCATAAACTTATAATACGTAATTTTTATCTGTGTTTTGTACGTACGAATGCACAGGTGTATTTGTATTCACAAGTGTATTTGTATTCACAGGTGTATTTGTATTCACAGGTGTATTTGTATTCACGGACTCCCTAATGAAAACTGTTCATGAACGTATACGCCGCAAAATGAGTAATGAAACGAGTAATATCAAGAAAAATCAACTCTTCTGTATATAAACCGTTTCAGGTACATATAGATAAATAATTAAAAAATGCGTGAACAATGATGAAAACAAAGTATGTAAAAAATTCGGTGAAATGCTTTACACATAAAGGTAAAACGTTAGCTAGATGAAGACAGCATTGCCACTTGGATAAGTTCACTAGCACCACATAGGTAACAGTTTAAAATGAGGGAAGTATTTCTGCCGTACCCTGTAACTAATGTCTTACCATTATGTGGGAGCCATTTCTGAGAGATATTTCTGCCACATCCTGTACTTTTGTCAAAGAAAACAAATAAATGATGAAAGTTCGGAGATTTTCATCCCAAAGAATGAAATTTGTAACTTGCTTCTCAAGAAAATCACAATTCTATGAAGATTTATATTATTCTTTATTAAACCCATAAAAATCAAAACACAACTAGAGCAACATAGTAACTTTCCAAACATTAAATTTATATCATTTTTATAAGCGTATAATATACAAGTTTTATCGTAATCAGACATCTATAAACGCAAGAATTAATGATATCGTATACTATATACTGCAGCAATACCACATTAATGCCTTTACTAGAAGCAACTACCATAAAATAACGTAATGTGATTTGAGAAGAAAATTAAAAGGAAAGGGGTTTTAAACTGTAAATCTCTAACGATGTCACGTGTTTTTGCGCTTGCTTTGTCAACTTCTTGCAGCAATTTTGCAAATAAAAAAAAATCAAGTGTTTAACGACATTTCGAGCCTTCGTAGAGTCTATACAGGTTTTAGATGTTTGTCTGATATATACACATGCAAAAAGA